CCCGCCCGTGCGGCCGGTAGGCCCGGGCCGCGCGTTGCTGCTGCTGCCGGTGAACCAGGTGGGTCGTGCCAGTGGGGACGCCGCCTCAGGGAGTCACAGTCCGGGAGGACCGCGGTCCCCGGGCCTGTACTCCGGCTGCCAGTCGGACTCAAGCCCATCCTCCTGTCGGTACCCCTAGGGTCCCCCCAGCAGTACGTAACAGGCTGAAAGGACTGTAAAAGTAAGAATAATAATGGTGTGATTGCTGGGAGCTTAGACATGCCAGCGTGTTTTGGGTGTACGAACCCATTTAACACGCCCAGCTGTTTCAGGGAGTAATTACCGTTCTCTCTGTGTTTGCAAAGGAAGAGATGGAGGTTAGGTAACTTGCCAGGAGTGATACAGTAGAGGCAGAGCTGGGAGTGAAACCGAGCCGGATTCAGGGCCCCTGCTCTTCACAGGGAAGCTGGTCTGGGAGAGTCCCCCTCTAATGCTGGAAGAAAGCGAAAACCTAGGATGGGGAGAGACTTGGCAAGCTATGGACCTTGGTTAAGAATGGGATGGTAGAGTCTTTCTCAACCATGAGGACAGCAGAGCCCAGTACACGGGACCTCTTGTTCTTTTTTTTTTTTTTTTCTTGGAGGTGGAGTTGGAGTCTTACTCCGTTGCCCAGGTGGGACTGCAGTGGCACGATCATGGCCACCCCAGCGTCAACCTGCTGGACTCTGGTGATCCTTCTTCCGAGTAGCTGGAACTACAGGCACGCACTACCACGCCTGACTAATTCTTTTGATTTTATTGTAGAGAGGTCTCATCATGTTGCCCAGCCTGGTCTCGAACCCGCAGGCTCAAGCAGTCCTCTTGCCTTGGCCGCCCAAAGTGCTGGGATTACAGGCTCGAGCCACCGTGCCTGACCCAATCCCTCCTACATGTAACACCAGGCTCTCTGTAGCTGCCATGGGGTATGATCTTAGGTTAAAAAGATAAATTAGCTGGGCTCGGTGGCTCAGCCTGTAATCCCATGCCTTGGGAGGCTGAGGTGAGTGGATTGCCTGAGCCCGCGGGTTCGAGACCCTCCCGGGCAACTTGGCAAGACCTCATCTCTACAATAAATCAAAAATTAGCCAGGTGTGGTAGCGCGCACCTGTAGTTCCAGCTACTTGGAAGGCTGAGGCGGAAGGATCGCCAGAGCCCAGCAGGTTGAGGCTGCGGTGGCTGGGAGCGGCCACTGCACTCCAGACTATGTGACAGAGTGAGACTCCAACTTAAAAAAAAAAAAAAGAAAGATAAATTATGCACTGGTACAGTGTAATCAGCTGCCTTTTGATATGTGAATGGTGAGTTAAGATGTTAGAATTCCAGCCTGGGTAACTTGGTGAGAGCTTGTCTCTACAATAAATCAAAAATTAGCCAGGTGTGGTAGCGCGCACCTGTAGTTCCAGCTACTTGGAAGGCTGAGGCGGAAGGATCGCCAGAGCCCAGCAGGTTGAGGCTGCGGTGGCTGGGAGCGGCCACTGCACTCCAGACTATGTGACAGAGTGAGACTCCAACTTAAAAAAAAAAAAAAGAAAGATAAATTATGCACTGGTACAGTGTAATCAGCTGCCTTTTGATATGTGAATGGTGAGTTAAGATGTTAGAATTCCAGCCTGGGTAACTTGGTGAGAGCTTGTCTCTACAATAAATCAAAAATTAGCCAGGTGTGGTAGCGCGCACCTGTAGTTCCAGCTACTTGGAAGGCTGAGGCGGAAGGATCGCCAGAGCCCAGCAGGTTGAGGCTGCGGTGGCTGGGAGCGGCCACTGCACTCCAGACTATGTGACAGAGTGAGACTCCAACTTAAAAAAAAAAAAAAGAAAGATAAATTATGCACTGGTACAGTGTAATCAGCTGCCTTTTGATATGTGAATGGTGAGTTAAGATGTTAGAATTCCAGCCTGGGTAACTTGGTGAGAGCTTGTCTCTACAATAAATCAAAAATTAGCCAGGTGTGGTAGCGCGCACCTGTAGTTCCAGCTACTTGGAAGGCTGAGGCGGAAGGATCGCCAGAGCCCAGCAGGTTGAGGCTGCGGTGGCTGGGAGCGGCCACTGCACTCCAGACTATGTGACAGAGTGAGACTCCAACTTAAAAAAAAAAAAAAGAAAGATAAATTATGCACTGGTACAGTGTAATCAGCTGCCTTTTGATATGTGAATGGTGAGTTAAGATGTTAGAATTCCAGCCTGGGTAACTTGGTGAGAGCTTGTCTCTACAATAAATCAAAAATTAGCCAGGTGTGGTAGCGCGCACCTGTAGTTCCAGCTACTTGGAAGGCTGAGGCGGAAGGATCGCCAGAGCCCAGCAGGTTGAGGCTGCGGTGGCTGGGAGCGGCCACTGCACTCCAGACTATGTGACAGAGTGAGACTCCAACTTAAAAAAAAAAAAAAGAAAGATAAATTATGCACTGGTACAGTGTAATCAGCTGCCTTTTGATATGTGAATGGTGAGTTAAGATGTTAGAATTCCAGCCTGGGTAACTTGGTGAGAGCTTGTCTCTACAATAAATAAAATTTTAAAAAATTAGCCTGGCATGGTAGCATATGGTTTTAGTTCTGGCTACGCGAAAGGCTGAGGCGGAAGGCTGAGGCGGAAGGCTGAGGCGGAAGGATTGCCAGAACCCAGCAGGTCGACGCTGGGGTGACTGTGAGTGTGTGTACCACTGCACTCCAGCCTGGGTGATGGAGTGAGACTCCAATTCAAAAAAAAAAAAAGATGTTAGAATTTTTCAGTCTTTAGCAACAGGGTCTATAATGTTATTTCTTTTTTTTTTCCCTGCTAGGGTTTTACTTTTAGTGGGATCTGTCGTGTGACTTGCCTCTATGGCCAGGTGCAGGTGTTTGGTTTTACCATCAGCCAAGGCCAGCCTGCCCTAGATGTCTTCTCTGTCTATACCCACACCCATCTGTCTATCAATGCACTTCATTACTCCATGCCTGAGAAGAGCAAGAAGGAAATCAAAAGGGAAGCCCGGACTTTGCTCAAATCTCATCTTAACCTGGGTAATGAAAATAACTGGGTAATTTACTGAGAACCTTCTATAATAAGGCTAATGATTTTTAGATGCTTACTGTGGCCTATACATTGTGCCAAGAACTTTACTGTATCTGTTTAAATCCTCACAAGAGTCCTGAGAGTGAAAGTACTGTTTTCAACATTTTACAGATGAAAAAATTGTCCAAGGCCACAAAGTTAGTATGTAGCAAATCTGGATTGAATTCTCCACTTAGTTGTGTTCTTATTATGCAATATAGCCCCCTGAAAAGGGCTCTCAAACATAATTCCTCCTTGGAATAAGTTTACAATTTGGCCAAGGAGGGGGCAGTTCTAAAGGGCATGGGGCTTCATGGAGTTACTGTTCCTAAGGTGATCTGTTTTTCTCTTTGCAGAGGACAGGTGCTGGTCCATGCACAATTTTTCTCCTCTGTGTTCCATTGTGTTGCTAGAACATCTGAAAACCTCTACTGTCAGCTTCATAACCAGCTATCCAGGTTCATCCTACATTTTTGTGCAAGAGGTAGGACCAGTTTTCATTCTGAGTTTTGCTAACTACTTGTACCAAGACAGTCATATCAAATGACTGCAGAATGCTCTCTTGGAAGATCAGGCTATCTGTTCTATAGTGCTGTATTCCCTACAGAATGTAGCATGTGTGCAGTACACAGAAATAGTATAGAAAGGTGTGTCATGAAAAGTGTCTCCTCCTCAGTGTCATTTCACATTGTAAGTAGTTTGTTGTTGTTTTTTTTTTGAGTCAGAGTCTCTGTCACTCTGTCTCCCAGGCTGGAGTGCAGTGGTACGTTCATGGCTACTGCAGCCTTGACCTGCAGGGTTCAGGCAATCCTTCCATCTCAGCCTTCCAGGTAGCTGGGACTAGGGGTATGCGTCACCACACCCAGCTAATTTTTTTATTTTTGTAGAGTTGAGGTTTCGCCAGGTTGCCCAGGCTGTTCTTGAACCACTGGGCTCAGGCAATCCTCTCTCCTCCGCCTCCCAAAGTGCTTGGATTATAGGCATGAGCCACCATGCTTGGTGTCCTTTTGGGTTTTTAATGGTTGTCTTTATATCTCAATTTATTAACTTTAGATAGCATAAATTTTCTCTAAACTATGAATGGTTTACATGTACTTATGCTTTCTTCCATCTATTTCTTTCCTCACTGCTAAATTTTTGCTGGCCATATTCATTTCCTAAAGCCAATTTCTATTACTATAATTATTTCCCATGAGCCAGTAGGATTAGTAGACAGACTGGATAAATGAGGTGTGAGAAAGAATCAAGGGACACACCAGAGTTTTTGGCCTGACCACTTAGGTGTGTGGAATTGCTATTAACTGAGATCGGGGCACAACAGAAGGCATGAGTTTAGATGTGTTAACCTTGAGATGCCTGATACATATCCAGTTGGAGATGTCAAGAGGGCTTTGAATATGTGAGCTGAGTTTAGAGAAGATGTTGGAGGTGTAAATAAGGGAGCCTTGGCCGGGCACGATGATTCAAACCTGTAATCCCAGCTCTTTGGGAGGCCAAGGTGAGAGGACTGCCTGAGCCCACAGGTTTGAGACCAGCCCGGGCAACTTGGTGAGACCTCGCCTCTACAATAAATCAAATAATTAGCTGGGTGTGGTAACGCACGTCTATAGTTCCAGCTGCTTGGAAGGGTGAGGAGGAAGGATCGTCAGAGCCCAGCAGGTTGACACTGGGGTGGCTATGAGCATGCTACTGCACAAGACAACGAGCTGGGATAGTAACACTGAAGGAGTTGGCTTAATTTTTTTTTTTTTTGAGTCAGAGTCTCACTAGGTCGCCCAGGCTGGAGTGCAGTGACACGCTCATGGCCCCTGCAGCCTTGACCTGCTAGGCTCAGGCGATTCTTCTGCCCTGGCCTTCCAAGTAGCTGGAACTACAGGGATGCGCCACCATATCCAGCTAATTTTTCGATTTATTGTAGAGACGAGGACTCGCCATGGTGCTCAGGCTGGTCTCGAATCCCTGAGCTCAGGCAGTCCTCTTGCCTCCACCTCCCAAAGTGCTAGAATTACAGGCGTGAGCCACTGCACCCAGTGTAGGCGTTGGTATAGATAGAAACATGACAGTTCTGGGTCTGGGCCCTAGGGCACTTCAAGGGGAGCCTGAGAAAGAGTGGTCACTGATGTCAGAGGACAACCGGGTTTGTGATGTTCAGGCGTCAGGAAGTCTTTAAAGGAGACTTATCTGTGGCAAATGCTGATGGTTGGGTGAGGCCTGAGAAAAGAACACTGGATACAGCAGCTGGGTGTGGACGAAAGTGGTTTCAGCAGATTGCTTGGGGGGACTAGCTTGATTGGAATGGGGTCGAGAGCCTGGGAAGAGAGGGACTGAAGGGTTTAGTAGTAAAGGATTTTGCTTTGGTAGAGTTTAGCTGTAAAGAGAAGGGAAGAAATGAAGCAATAGTTGGAGGGTTAAGTATGCTCGAGAGTTTTGTATGTTAAGAAGGATGAACACAGCAGGTGGGAATGAGCCGCAAGAGAGGGAGAGCTGAGGACGCAGTAGAGACGAGAGGGTTGCTGGCACTGTATCACGGAGTCAACCACGAGGGGTGGGGTTGATTCTGGTGTCATGTGGAGCACAGACAGGTCATCCATAGTAGCTGGAGGAAATGCCCAGGAGAAGGCCAGAGGCACCTATGAGTTGTCTGATTATTTCCTTCTACACTGGGAAATTGGAATTACTGCCTGGGGAGCAGATAGATAGTAGGTGGGAATTGGGAGTTTGAAGTGAAATGAGACATACAAAGTGAGGACAGGGCTAATGGACTGTTGTGATTACATTTTATTCCAGTGCAGAATCCAGTAACTTGATCAGGCTACAGATGAAGAAATGGAATTGCATGTTACCAGGCCCTTGCTACTGAAGTGAATGTTCCAGATGCCACAGATCTGCCACATTCTAATTCATTTTTAGCTTTGTTTGTTTTTCTGGGACTTAACCACCATTGTTGTTTGTATTCCTTATTTATTTATTCATTTATTTATTGTTTTTTCTGAGTTGGAGTTTCACTCTGTCACCTAGGCTGGAGGGCAGTGGCACGCTCATGGTCACTGCAGCCTCAACCTGCTGTGCTCAGGTGATCTTTCTGCCTCAGCCTTCCAAGAAGCTGGAACTACAGGCACGCACCACCATGCCTGGCTAATTTTTTTGATTTATTGAAGAGATGAGTTCTCAACAAGTTGCCCAGGCTGGTTTTGAACCCGTGGACTCAGGTAGTTCTCTCACCTCAACCTCCCAAAGTGTTGGGATTATAGGTGTGAGCCAACGCTCCTGGCTTGCATTCCTTTTGGTTTTTTTTTGTTTGTTTGTTTTTTTAGCTGGAGTCTCACTCTGTCGCCCAGACTGGAGTGCAGTGGCCGCTCCCGGCCACCGCAGCCTCAACCCGCTGGCCTTTGGCGATCCTTCCAGCTCAGCCTTCCGAGTAGCTGGAACTACAGGCGCGCGCTACCACGCCTGTCTAGTTTTTGATTTGTTGTAGAGATGAGGTCTCATCAAGTTGCCCAGGCGGGTCACAAACCTGTGGGCTCAGGCAATCCACTCACCTCGGCCTCCCAAAGGTGCAGGATTACAGGCTGAGCCACCGAGCCCGGCTTGTATTCCTTTTTTAAAAAAATTTTTATTTTTAGTTGAAGTCTCACTTTGTCACCTAGGCTGGAGTGCAGTGGCACACTCATGACCACCACAGCCTCAACCTGTTGGGCTCAGGCAATCCTTCCGCCTCAGCCTTCCAAGTAGCTGGAACCACAGGCACGTACCACCACGCTTGGCTAACTTTTTTATTTATTGTTGAGACGATGTCTCACCAAGTTGCCCAGGCTGGTCCTGAACCCCTGAGCTCAGGCAATCCTCTTGCCACAGCCTTCCAAAGTGCTGGGATTACAGGCGTGAGCCACCACACCCAGCAAGATGTTCTTATTTTGTCCTCAGTGATGGATAATTACAGAACGTGTAGAATTGTAGGTTCAAAAGGATTTCTCCTCAAAACTTGGAAGGCCTGGCCCATTGTTTTCTAGAATCCAGTGTTGCTGATAGGAAGCCTCATACCGGGTTGCTCCTCATTTCTTTTATGGTATCTTTGTCCTCAGTGTTGATGAATTGCAGCAGCATATGCTCATGGGGGGTCACTTCTTCCATTCATCTGCACAGTGGGCTTCTTCTAGTGGAGCCTTGCCCACTTCTGCTAGGGTGTGCTCTTCATTCCTCGGGTTGCTTTCCTCATGGTTTCTTGGAACTTGTTAGAACGCCCTTGGACTTCACAGTCCTGTCTTCTACATCCTTACAACTTTGTTTGCTTATATTCTTTTTTTTTGTTGTTGGAGTCTCACTCTGTCACTCAGACTGGAGTGCAGTGGCCGCTCCCGGCCACCGCAGCCTCGACCTGCTGGGCTCCGGGATCCTTCCGCCTCAGACTTCCAAGTAGCTGGAACTACAGGCGCGCACCACCACGCCCGGCTAATTTTTGATTTGTTGTAGAGATGAGGTCTCGTCAAGTTGCCCAGGTGGGTCTTGAACCCGAGGGCTCAGGCAATCCACTCGGCCTCCCAAAGTGCTGGGATTACAGGCTGAGCCACTGAGGTTGGCCTGTTGGCACATATTCTCATCTTTGTCTTTCTGCTTTATGCTTTTGGAGGTTACCTGGGCTTTAATCCAGCCCACCAACCTGGTCTACAGCTATGGGCTTTCTATCGAATTTTTCCTCTGGCAGTCATGCATTTGCTTTTTCTCTGCAGTCTTCTGCAGAAGTAATGACAGCTTGGGAGGAAGCATTAAGCTATGAAAACAGACACAGACAACTGCAAGAATAGAGTTGGCAAGTCGTGCTGGTGGGTTGGATTTTGGGATGAGAGAAAGGGAAGGATCATATTTATCTTTTGTAGCTCACAACTGCATGAGGCTTGTTTGATTTCAAACTGAAGAAAAAATGCATTTTTTTTCACCTTTTTCTTAAAGTTTAAGTTGTTAATTTCAGAGTCCAGCTTTGCAGATTACTCCTGAATATTTAGTCTTGAAGTCTATTGGCATCAGAAAAGAGAAAAAAAAGAAAGGCATTCAGTTAAGTGAGAGTACCCTTTCAGCACTGGAGGAGTTAGTCACTGTTTCTTGTGGTGAGTAATGCACATTGATAAATTTGAGTGTTTATCTACCAAAACCTCAGAGAATTATGATTCATAGAGTCCTAACGATGATGGCTCATTTTCGGGATGAATGTTTGTCTTTCCTCCAGAAGAAGTCGATGGCTGCCCTGTCATTCTGGTTTGTGGCTGTCAGGATGTTGGAAAGTCAACGTTTAATAGATATCTGATTAATCAGTTGTTAAATAGGTAAGAGTGCTTTTGTTATGGCTTTGAAATATTGCTAGGTTTTGGGCATGAATTGGTATTCTTCACTTAAGAAACTTGGTGGGAATGACCCTGGCTTCTAGGTGGAGATTCCAAACAGCTCTGCACAGAGCTGCTCAGCTGAGTGGTGTCATCCTCTCTTGGCCTCGGTATTGGAGTGTACTGACGGTGCTTAGGCTGGGCTGACTTTGGCTTGTCTCGGGCTAACTTGCAAGAGAAAACACTTAGTATCAGAGTCTGTGTTTATAAGTTATGTTTTTTTTTTTTTTTGATT